TAATAGGTAGTGTAATGGTATAGGTATGACCGATTGGTTGTGTTTGTTGCTATTAGTGTTGTTGTTCTTGTAGTGACAGATCCAGAGGGGAAGCGCTTCGGTTTTCGGCTTCCCTTGAAAAAGTACTAGCTCTGAGTGCTGTTCCTTGCTGCGCTTGTACCTTCGCACCACAACCTTTCTACAGGTCCACCGTGAGACAGGAGAAGTAGATTATCTTTATGGTCCTGGACTAATAGAAGATCTTCTGGTCCTGGACAACAGCAGCAGGACTTCACTCTTCACTTCTCAGCCTTGGGCCAGTAGCTTCACTGACAGCTGACAGAGGTATGAGAAACACTATCTCTGGCACCTCACACCTGCATACATGCAGCGATACCGGTACGGTACTGTCGTCACTACATACCAGTCTGCTGGCCGTACGGTATGTACTATGATGTACGATGGCCCAGTCCCCAGTGCTAAGTTAGTTAAGGTGGTCGCACCCAGGATGTAAGCCGGCGAAAAGCTGCTAATAAAATACAGTCTGTTATTTCGAAATTACCGCGAGAGATCGAGTGAAATAAGAAAAAATCGATTGATCTAACAGCTGCTGCTAAAGGTGTGTTGTAATTGACGTGTTGTACAACAATCCAACCTCTAGCCATACAGGACGTCTCTCTAATAGTATTAGGAAGAGGTTTGCGAAGGGTATTGATGCGCAGTTCCGGTCCTCCTGTGAATATTCTTCGACGGCAGCAGCTGATCGAAACTTTCGATTCTGCTGCTTGCCGACGATAAATCTCAATGGCTGCTGGTCCTATGGCCCCAGAACCACGTACTACTCTCTTCCTTACACTATTAGAAGGAGATAAGTGTATGGTTCTGGGGCCATACAATCAGCGAGCACAAAGAGAATGAGCTCTCTAACACACAGTTGTTCAGTTTGCGATTTTTGTTGTTGAGAGGCAAAGCTCGTTGTCGAGGGAATCTTGGTTTCTCGTTCTTTGAATTTCGAAATCCGGTGAGTGAGCTCTGATCCGTGTTCTTTGTACTAATTTACTATAAACCAGTCGCCGGCCAGTCCCGAGAGCACCCAAAATTGTGATGGAATATTTGAACAATTGTATTCTCGACGCTTCCACAACAACGGTTTCTTTTTCTGGACCTTTTGAATGGATCATTTATACGAATCTTGCCGTTTCCTACGTACTGTATCCTCGCTTCCGCCGTACACTCGCCACTTGGCCATCCGCACTCTACTAGCTAGCTACTAGTAGACAAATCTCTTCATTACAAAGAAAGCAATATCTCTACCTAGATTGCATTGCTGCCGGCATCACTATCATCGTCGTCATCAATGGCTCCAACAATGGCTTCTTCATTGTCACCATCAAGGGCGTCAAAGGGAATGCATTCCAAATCTGCCAAGTCCCTCGTGCCGTCCTCTACCATTTGTGCCAAATCTTGAGCCGTTTCTTCTGTGGTTTCCTCCTCTTCAATTTCAGCTTCTAGGTTGTTTGTTTGTTGGGTAACATCGCTAACAGATGGGATAGAAGCTGCAATTGGAGTGGTGGCAGTCAGCTCTGATAGTAGCTTCCCAGTCAATCTGTCATATTCGGCGGCAGCCATGGAATCCCCAGTCTTGAGGCACTTTTTAGATTTGGTCGAAACGTGTCCCTTCTTACCGCAGAAGGGACAAAACTTGCCTTTGCTGGTTGTCGTATTGTTCGTTTTCCTTTTCTTCTTGGCAGGTTGTTTTGCGGCCTTCTCAGCATCAATCCGTGCGGCCTCAGCCGGAAGCTGTTCTTGCGGAAGATCCAAGTTCATGCCTGGGCGGTAGCATTTGTGTCGTTTCGCCCATGCCTTTTTCGTGGCAATTGTTTCCAACCGGATTCTCTCGTTCTTCTTTTCCGCCCGGTACTGCTTGTACTCCGGAGTCTTGAGCCGGTCCAATCGTTTCTGTCGTTGGTTCTGTCTGACGGTGAGGTAATGTTGAACGTGAGTAGTCATATCTATTCCAAGTTTGAGGAAAACACGGTTGAAAAACTCCACATATCCAAGGGAGACGATTCCAACGGCAAAGGCAAGACGATTGGCTAGTGAACAGGACCCGGAAAAGACTTTGTTCTTGGGTGCAAACCAGGTACAGACGCTGTTGAATGACTCGTTTGCATTCGTGTCCAAGCCGTGGGCAATCTCTCTCAATCGCTCAAGCTCACAATAGCGCCCCATTTTCTTCCGCAGCAGCTCGTAAAGCTCCGCATCTTCTTTCTTGTCGCGGTAATACTTCTTGCTTGCAGCTTGCTCTTCTTTCGTTGCCTTGCACCGAGCGCACCAAGCACCGCATTTGTCGTGGGCATCAAAGTGATGCTCCAAACAGGCCCAAGCGACATCCACATACTCGGATTCATCGCGGTCTTTGAGTGTCCGAGCCATGTAGCCGTAGTTCTTGCCAAGACGAATGGAATCCAACCTCGTCATTGTCTTCTTGTCGGCAACCTTGGCCAAATCCAAACGAATGAGTTCCCCGGTCAACTGTTTGCGGCGGTGGTTGGGATCAGCACAAAACTTTGGCTCGGGAATATGGCCGGGTAATTTCCCTTTGTCAGGACGGTCTTGTAGCTCACCCTTATTCTTTCCCTTGGTCTTGGGCACCTGTGGTAGAACGGTAGTGTTGTTGTTGGTTAGGTAGTCTTTGTTCGACCACTTCAAATCCGCCCGAATGGACGAGTCGTCGTCACAGCAAAGAAGCTCCAGAATAATGCCTTTATTGTCGTAAAGATCGATCACGATTTCCAAAGCCAATGCCGCTTCCATCGCACCTGACGAGTCCGTTGGATCATGGTTGCGGGGACAATAGGCGTGCTCCGGATAATCAGGACGGGTATCGACGTCGGGGTGCTTCTTTTCGTGCCCTTCGCACCGGTTGCACTTCTTGCTCTTTTGACCAAAAGCAATAACCTTTCGGGTTGCGGCACCGACAAGACTGCCGTGCCCAGACGATGAGTTGTAGAGAAGACCCGATCCTTTTTGCTGCCAAGCGCCGTCATACGAGCCCTTCAATTTGACTTTGACGGGATGGTTTTTGTGCTGCTCCGGTATCGACAACTTCCAAGCCAAGTAGCATTCCTCCATTGTTGATCGTCTGACTTCGTTGTCCAGGTTTTCCATCAGGATTTCGTCTCTCAATTCTCGCAAGATGGGGCCAATCCTTTGCTCTATCGTGGGAAAGCTTTTGCCCATCGTAGTATCATTCGGAAGCCCCATCAAACCAAGCATTTTGCCGGCTTCAGTTGCACCGTCTCCATTCGCTATCATCCCAAGAACCAGCAATAGATTGAGTTGGTAATTCGTCAGCCTCTCGTACTTGTTGTCAGTATGCATTGTTGTCTTTGCGGGAGTGGGTAATTCGTAGACATAATCACATTCTTCGTTGGCACATCTGAGTCGAACTTGTGACACAATGCCGCAGTTGTGGACGAACATTATCAATGGCATTGGCTTGTCATCCAAATTGCAATGAGGGCATTTGGCAAAATCGGCAACCAGCTTTTCGATTTGGCTCGTCTCCAACAGTAGGCGGCTGCTTGCTTTGGTATTGAATTCAGTGACGGTGGGCTCATTGTCTTCTTCTTCGGTGGTTGCCTCTTCTGCCTCATCTGTAGTGTCAGCTTCTGCCGCTTCCTCTGTGGGGATATTATCTTCCTCAAATAGAATCCTCTTCCTGTGCTTGTTGGTGCCAGTATTGCCATTTCTAGTTGATCTCCCAGTGCTGGCACTGCCACCGGCATTATCATTTATTCCAGCTAAATGCTTCCATCCATGTCCACTGGCAGCAAGTCTAGCTTGTTCAGTGCTAGTAGATGGCTTCCATTTCGCAGTGGTGGGTGTAGGCGTGACATGTGCCATCGTCTCGTGAAGGCGCAAAACGGTGCAGATCCAGAGGCCTTTGCGAGTTTATGCGTCGAGAATCCATTTTCCAATCAGCAATGCGCACTTCCCTCCAAATCCTCGTTTTCACAGCTCGCCTTGCGCGAGTGAATCCAAGAGACTTATGGCGCGAGGTGCGCGAACGTAGATTTGGAGATAGAATCCAGCGCGAACGAAATTTGTTTCGCCGGATTACTCAAAGGATTCCGGATTCCCCAATCTGTCAAAGATACGAAACAAAAACGATCGAAACTAGCCACTATATTTATAACAAACTGCGCTGGCTAACATCCTGGGTGCGACCACCTTAAAAGCATACTGGTACACTGGTACCAATACTAGCTAGTAGCTGTTACGAGGCTTAATTATCCCTTGGAAGGAATGACATAGTGATCACGAGTTTTGGCGACCTCTCTATTTAGTAAAATGCAACTAAAAGCGCAATCCCTATTCCATATAAGTCTTACCACCGGGACGCAGTCTCTATTATTTATTGTTTTGCTGACCATCGTTTGACAGAAATCATGGTACTAATAAACTACCCACTAGTCTACCCATAGTCGGCCAACCACCACTGCTTGAGCTGACAAGTGATCCAGCAAGGGAGTCTTTACTGCAGAGAACCCAGTACTGAAGCTACGTCCTTTTGCAAGTAGGAGACAGAGTGAAGCGTCGGCTTTGCACCTGCCGCAATTCACGTTTTCCGAGCTCTGAAAAAGTTACTCAGAGTGGTCTACTAGTACTTCTAGCTAGGTGGCAACTACAACCACCAACAAAACAAGCAAGAACACAATCCAAAACCGAGCTGTGAATGACCAAGACAGTAGCTTTCCCGACACGGTAAAACCAACCTTTGGAGCAGTTCTCCTACAGTATCATCATCTTATTTCTTCGGATAATAGATTCTATATCGTTGAGTGCTACACTGTATTAAGGAAAGGAAAGAAGACTATGGACCAAGGGGAAGGCATTGCTAGCAGGCAAAACAAGAACCATGATGAAAGAAGGGTATCATCAGAATCAGACAGCGATGAGCGAGATAATGATGGTCCACTAGAGCTACTACTAGAAGCACCACCAGCCAGGGAGAGGGGAGATGAGGATCAAAGGAGAGATGGGGTCCTGATACCCATGGTACCCTTAACAGACGATGTTGTGGCTCCCGATGTACCCATCATACCCATGCTACCCTTAGCTGATGCTACCATTGGTTCGACTACTAGTAGTACGGATAATGGTGGTGCTATCATTCATACTACATATAGTACAGCAGGGGAGGAAGAAGACTCTTGCAAGGAGGAAGAGGAAGACTTGAAGGAATCCAAGTTGTTAAAGGCTCGTATTCAGAAAGAAAACGACAAGATGGCAGCCATGTCGGCTCAGAACGAAACTGAAAGGAAGGTACAGGAAAAGTTGGCACAACAACAACAGCAACAGCAACCTCCCTTATCCAGAACCACAACGGGTCAGAAGCTTGATCCCTTATCACCCACAGCCAAGAATCAACTCTTACGAAGAACCCGTTCCATGCAACATCGCGACCTACAGAGACGTCAAGTCAGTCCTCAGCGACCACGCCCCACCAGTCCAATCAGGCAGCGACAGAACAGTCCTACACGCAGTCCTCTTCAGCGACGTACTATGCCACCTCGTAACCTCTCCAACTCGTCCTCACGGCGAACCGTCGGTAGCATGTTAGAAGAGGAAGATGACGAGCAACAGTGCCAAGATACCTTGATGATGATTGCCAAAGCGAGGGCGGCTCTAGGACAAGACTATGATGACGAGTACGAAGAAGGAGTAGAAGTAGAAGACGAAGAACAACAACAAGACAATAAAGATGACAAACAAAAGCGGGTCCCTCGACGGTGGCGACATCAGCAACAAAATAGTACAGAGGAATTGCAGCGACCAGGTGCCTATTCCAAAGCCCCGGGAGAAGACTTTCAGCGAAATCGAACCTTTGAACGGGCGACCTATGCACCCGCACCACAACCCACAACACCTACAGCTCACAGCAAGCCGATGACAGAACTGCAACAACAATATGCCAAAAAGGCTAGTAGTAGTGGCTTGGACTCCTCGTCGGAAGATGAAGGTCTCAAAGATTTTATAATGGCCGAATCGGACGAGGACAAGAAACCAGCTGCCAAACCACGACGCAAGGACCATGTGGACAAAAGGATGGTGTTACCATCGGGGAGCTTTCACAGTCAAACCTCCGTGGACAGTCTCGCGACACCACCGCCCTCGCGTCGCGGCAAAATGACACGGGTGGAATCCCTCAGTACCGACGACGATGGCATTGCCTTGTCAGACTCTTCACCCAAATTTGGCGCGAGAAAAAATCGACGGATGCGACGTGTTGCCCCTGCGTTAAAAGCAGATAGTGCCCTGACCGACGACGAGGACGACGATGATCAAGCATCCCAGTTCTCCTCTTCCGCCAACGACTTTCGTCGACGACAACGAAATCGATCTTCCAAAAGTCAATCTTCCATTCGATTGTCCATGTTGGCACGGTCGTTCCGGGGAATTAATAGCAACGACAGTGGGGGAAGATGGAGTGGCAGTGGGACGTGGACCCTCTCCAGTGGCGACGTGTCATCGGACAAGATGATTGCCGACATTACCGAACAATCCGTATCCAACTTTGTCAAATCCTTTGGCAATCAAATGTCGTCCATGGATGCATTGCCCATTGCCGCCACGGTGGTGCCGTCCGAAGAAGATCTGGAAACACTCATTCGATCCAGACTCGAAACCGAATTGAGAACGCATCTCAGTCGGGAATTGACGCAATTTCGAGAACGATTGTTTCAAGAAATCATGGAACGGGGAGAATTGCAAGTGGCGGAACAATTGCAAATGGTGGTGGATCCTGCTACCACCACGGCAGATCATGACATGATGAGAGAAAGCATCGCATCCGTCAACAACAATGGTGGTAGCAATCATGATACGAGTCCCTTTCTCGTCATGCCAACGGCAGAAACAACGATTGTGGACCCACTGCGGGGAGACAGCCCCGGTCTTGTCGCGGACTCCGCCGACGATTTGTCATTCGAGCCCGAAGATGATCGATACGAGGACGAACATTCCGTCACCATGGACGACGAGAACGATGAAACCATTGGATCGTTGCACGGTAGCATCCATCCTGACAGTTCCAATCAGCTCTTGTCATTGGTGGAATCGACGACGTCGTCTCGTCGACGCCGACCAGCGGACAACTTTGCACGATCCATTCGACAATCGCTCCGTATCGAATTTGGAAATTTGGGAGATGAGCTCGGTGATTTGGAGCAGTCGGCAGCCATGGAAGCACAGGTGATTGACATTGAATCAGCAAATCCAACCCCGACGGTGACAACCGGATTGTCGTCGTCTCAAGCGGGCAGTTTCATGCTATCCAGTGGTCGTGGTGGCAGTTGCAGTCGCCATGATAGCAAAGGAAACGTTGTCGACGTGGTTGGCGACGCCAAACGGAAAGCTTCCTTGACTTGTCCCCCAAACCACGAACACGGTCGGACGTTTGTCTTTTCTCCCCGGGGATTGCTGGGAAGTGTCTTTTTGGTCTTCTTACTGGGTGCCTTTGTCGGTGCGGGGACTAGTATCTTGGCCATGGGGTCAATAGGGGGTGAGAACTAGCTAGCAGAAGTGGAGAAATAGACATCGATGCAGTGATGGGGGAAGTAATAAAGGCGACCACGCTGGTTGAACTTTTAAAATTAACTTGAGACCTTTAATCTATCTTCATTTCTGGAACACTACTCGACAACATCGGAAGGAAACGCAGCTGCTGCTGTCGAAGGCAATAACGTCACCCGAAATCAGTTGCGTCCGCTCAGTCATCAGCCGCCCAACACCTCGTTTCTCTCTTTGCAAGAGCTCGAAGAAAAATGCATCTCGTGATTGGAGCTAAAAAGAAACTTGCATCCTTGCAGTTGTGCGAATACGTGCTCTTGGGTCTCTGGTGTCCTTTCTGTCTTTTAAAAACTCTTGTGAGGTGAACGGGGAAATGAATGGTCGTCATAAAGTAGCCAAGTGCGCTCGCACAGAGGTAGATGAACAACGGGAAGAGTGGTGAAATGGAAGCAACGAAAGAAGATTGGTACCAGTACGGTAAACTTTGAATCTATAGCGACCTCCGAGAGAGCGGCGGTGCTTCAACCCTAGTTCGTACCTTTGCCGACGCGTGCGTTTGTTTTTGTCGTGTGTATCATTTTGATTTTGTTTTGAGTTGTTCCCGTTTGCCAAAGAGAAACGATGTTGCCGTTTTTAAGTTGGTCTTGCCAAAAAGTTGTCGCTGAAATGAAACGCCATTTGCATGAAACGCCGTTTGCCTCAAGCAAGCTTTTTCTCTCTCACTCAGCACAACACAACAACTCCTTCTGTCTTATTCAAAGACAAATGCATGACGATGACACCTTTCTCCGGTGCTGCTTTTTGCAGCCGCGTGGTTCCTTCGGGAGCCCCGTGGTTGAGACTCGCTGGCTTTGCCCCTGTCAATATACGCTGGGAAAGGTGTTCATCTTGCGGTGGTTCCTTTGTTGGGGTGGTTCGTCCTCGTGCAATCGTTGGAAATGGCGTCGCGTCGAGTCGTTTCATGCTTCAGTCTCATCATCACAACAGGTACGGTCCACGAGTACGCATGCAGGCATGTCATTAGTAGTTCTTTACTCTTGCGAGTCAGCATTCGTGTTGGAAGCTTCCAGGGGCACTCGAAAGGGTGTTCATGATTGTCTTCGCTGAGGAAAGTGACATGCAGTGCATGCGGCAAAATGGTGCTTTGCTCTTTAGTTTGCTCTCAGCTCAAGTCTCACCATTCCCTTGTTGCCCTTGCTCTTCTTAATTTGTTAGGTTAGGCAATGCACAAGCTCACAAGGCACCGGGTAGTCTACCATTGGACCGTCGTCTTAGCTACATGGGTTGCCGTTGTGGTTGTTGCCGTTGTTGGCGGTTGCCTTCGCGGTTCTTGGTCGTTGCCGTTGTTGACGGTTGCCTTTGCGGTGATGCTGAGCAGGTTTGAGTTCGCGTTTAAACCGACGAAGCTGGTTTGAAGTCCGTCGGCCGTGCCTGTTGGCTTCACTTTTGGCAACGCTCCTTGGCGCGGGAGTCCACTGTTTGGTGGTTCGTGTGATTTGAATCAGAGCTGACTCCTCTTTCCGAGCAAGTGCATTTCGACCTGCTTTTCTGTTCCTGTTGGAGCTCACTGTTGGTGGTTCACTGTTTGGTGGTTCCTGTGACATGCCAGCCAAGTGGACCGCAATGTCCAAGCAAAACTAGGGGACGAGTTGCCTTTGCCATCTTGTGGACCGCAAAGTCCGAGAAAAACTAGTACATGTGGACCGCAAAGTCCGAGAAAAACTAGTGCATGTGGACCGCAATGTCCGAGAAAAAATAGAAACATGTGGACCGCGATGTCCGAGAAAAACTAGGCGGAGGCGTGTACTGTTGGTTCAATTGAAGGGTCACATTAAGGGTAGCCAGGTTTGTGGTTCCTGTGCTAGGAAGCCTCTATTGCAGAGTGATTGTCCGAACGTCCTCCACACGAAAGTCCAAGTTAATACCTGTGACACCTGAAAACCAACCTCTACCGTCGTTGATGCAATGAACTTCGAAGAGTTTCCACGTCCACGTCGTTGAAGTTTGGGGAGCATCTTCCTTTTGGTTGATGCGAGCCGAGAGAAACTCAAACTCAAACCAGTACTTCAGTACAAGCGTTGAAGGCCCGGTCCTCCAGTTGGAAGTCTCTTTCGTTGGCAGTTGTATTTGCCAGCAACTCGAAAGGCAGCATCTGCACAGGTCATTTGCTGTGTTGTACTGCCAGGGAACCTTCAATAAGGTGGTCCATGGCTCTTCCCACAGTCCCAGGGTAGCTCATCATTACTTTCACTAGATAGCTTAACATCTCACACTTGTCTCTCTTTGGCCCGCCCGAAACTAAGGCTTCCTTGGCACTCACACCAACCTTGTCCCTGTCGGTTGCTGGTACTGGTAGCACGATGCGGTGACATCAAGGTTACGCTACTGGCCTCTTCTCCTGTAGTTCCTCCAGCTTTTCCCCTTTCAATGTGGCATCCTTCAGCATATCTGACATCCTTTGGCGGTCGAAAGCAGTGGACTTCCTCCTTGTTTTGTGCTCCTCCAGCGTTGGTTTCTCGCTTGATATACAGCTCGATGTCTTGGGGTGCTCATCAAGTCGCCCAGTTCTAACACAAGAATACGAATGCGGCTTTCTGGTGGCTCCTTTGCTGCGGTCAGCGCTGTTCATCTCGATCAGGCTAAGCAGCGGAGCGGGGTCCTCGGTTGCAGCTTCGGTTTTCCAAGATTGCGCGCTTGCTGAAACATTCTCGCTCATCTCGATAAGGCTTAGAAGCGGGGCTGGATCATCTTTAGCAGTCTCATTGACATCAGAATACGATTTGCTTCTTTGCCGCCTAAAGCTCTTCCTCCTTGTTTGGCTTTCGCTTGCCCTAGCATCATCAGAGTACGACTCGATAAGGCTAAGAAGAGGTGCCGGATCTTCTTCAGCCTCATGCACATCAGAATACGACTTACTTCTTTGTCGTCTTAGGCTCTTCCTCCTTGGTTGGCTTTCTTTCGTGGTAGCACCAGAGTATGCTGACTCGATAAGGCTGAGAAGGGGGGCTGGATCTTCATTGGCATCTCCATTCACGTTGGAACAGGATCTGCTGTTTTGTCGCCTCAGGATGTTCCTCTTTGATTGACTTTCTGCTGTTTTGCTTCGGTGCAGCTTCGGCATTGAAGAGCACGACTTGCTTCTTTGCCTCCTCATTGGTTTCTTGTTCATCGAAACTCGCCTGCGTTTTTCCCAATCCATCTCGCATTTCAATTCCTTTGCTTTGGCCGTTGTGACCAGTGTCGTGTCGGAGCTCCTCCTGCTCCTTGTGCTCTTTCGCACCGAACTGTGTGCTTCCTTTGCAGCATCATTTGCCGCCTTCCCCAGCAGCGTTGCACTCCTGGGCTTTCCGTTTTTAACGGGTCTCGTCTCGTCGATGCTCTGGAGCGCTTCCTCCAACTTGTTGGGTAGTACTTCTCTGGCCGATCCGAGGACCTTTTTCGCAAGCCTATCGTCGTTGCTGGCCCTCAGCAGGTTCACGACTTTGACAATGCAATCCTGCACCTTTTCTTTCTTTGCTGTTTCTTTCTGGAGCTGAGCCCCGGCCTTTGCAACTTCCGTCTTTGCCTTCACCATTGCTCGCTTACCAAGCTCCACCAAGCCCTCGAATTGTTTGTTCTGAAGTGTCAGGCTGTCGATTTGTCGTTTCAACTCCAGATATCCTTTTGTTCCTAGCCTTAGTTCGTTTCGATGGTTTTTGAGGGAAGCAAAGTAACTCCACGCGAACGTTTTGGATGAGTCGTCAGGCGTAGAAACACTCTTGCCCTCCTCGTCCTCTCGCAGCTCCATTCGAGCCTTCTGCTTCTCCATATCTAAAAGGAGCTGGATTGTCTCCAGTTCTTCTTTTTGGCGCCTCAAAACGTCCATCTTCTCCACTTGCAGCCGGGATGTTTCTAGTTTGTACCAAGCCGCAGCGCGGCGGAAGAAGCCCTGAATACGTAGTGCGGCCTGAAATTCCAGGACCCAAAGGAGTGACTGAGACTTGTGTAGCGAGTACTTGTTGAACATTGCATGGTCAGTGGGAGCAACATGGCCCATTTGGCCAGCGCCGAAGCTGGCGATGGAGTCCTCGTCGGAGGCAACCTGCATCCCCGCAGTGCTATGGCAGCTAGAAAAGGGGAGCAGACTCTGCTTATCGTCGGAAGCGTCGCTGTTGTACGAGTTCTTGCGTACTTGTTTCCTGTCGGATGCGAAATCCTCGTGCTGGAGGTCAGCAGCTTTCTGCCAATTGTGCTGGTAGATCATGATGCTCATTGTACACGTACCCTCTTCTCTTCTTCTATTATTCAAATGAATGCAAACGCCATTCAAAGGGGAAAGATATCAAACAGTGAGCACATTGGAGCCCACAGTAACATGCAGCCACCACACATACCATACCAGCGACCCTCGAGTGGCCTGTTGTGGCCACTGTACCGGTACGACTGTACAGTACATCGTACCTGTTTTACGAAGATTTATCACTGGTTATTTCGAGTCATAACTTTCTAATTTATTGACCATACAGATTTAACCATTGCACCCTGGTGCTGTCCCAGTTTCCAAGGAGTCACACTTTTCTTCTACAGTAACTGTCTCTTCGCTGGCTCCAAGCGGTACTGGTACCAGGTACGGCGTGGCAGCGTGGTACCAATACCATACCGTAGGTGGTGCACATTCCACACAAAGTAGCTAGTCTATCGATAGTTGTAGATTGTACACTACTCGCAAAGTACATGTAGCTGGTATCGATAGTTGTAAACTACTCGCCTGCAATTTAGCTGCTACCGTACCGGCATCCTGGTGGCGACTTCGATCTCTTGGTGAAAGCTGTTGGAGCGACTGCTTGGCCTGTACCGTACAAGTCTTCGACGTTCTGATCTGGTACTGTCGTAAGATCGGTTCTTCCTCCTCCGAATTAGGATCAGGCCTTGCTTCATTAGCATTTATTTGGCCAAACAGCTTCTACACTTGGTTCCTCTGGCTCCAGACAGGCTGTTGAAGCAGGGCAGACGGTGCCGCTGCTAGCTAGCTAGTATTACTGTTTCTTCCTCGTGGCAAAGCCCCGAACTGCCTGAACCTCCATGCATCGCTCGCAAAAGCAGCAGCGAGGGCAGACTGTGCAGCTGTGTTTAATGATGTCAATTGGGTAGATTTCCAAGCTATGCAAGTCAAAGGGCTGGAAAGTGTGGCTGTCAGATTCTTGTCTGCTACCAAGGTGCCCTGCGGTTTTTGTTCTTTTATCTTTATAAATTGTAATATTTGCATACTTCAGCAGCAAAGTAGCCTGGTTAGCTCAGGTAAGAATCAGAGGCGGATAGAGGAGCACTCAATGAATGAGGCAACAACTGACATAGTATTATCATTCCACCCTTCCAGTTTGGCAGAGCGCACGACTCTTAATCGTGTGGTCGAGGGTTCGATCCCCTCACTAGGTGTTTTTGCTCTGTTTGAGAAGCTGCTGCTTCACAGCCTTGGATGTCCTGTACTATTCTTCGCATGCAGACGAGGTCACGAAGTTTTGCTTTTTCTGCAATGAGTTTTTGGGTTCCGCACCTCGCGTTCGAATAATTTAGGGATCTTAAAGAGTGGATTTCGTAAGGGTATCGAACTCTTTAGAAAGGGGATCGAGGGTTTTAGTGAGGGGATCGGAATAAGCGAGGGTTGGAAATCGATCCCCTCATCCTTTGCCTCATCTGCTGGGACTTCGCTGGTGCCAAGACTGCACTGAAAGCTTCCTATCCTACACGGTAGGCTTTCATTTGGTCAAGAAACCTCGATGTCTGTCGAATCCAAAAACATTGTTCTCGCTATTTCTAGCCAGATTGAAAGTCTCCACACTATTCTAGCTACTTGCATTGCTGCTGGCTACCGTAGTGATACATGCCGTGTATCTGGGATCACTTCTATCCTTAAATCGATCATACAGCCTCAGTTGCATCGAGGGTGGGCAAGTCATCTGAAGGAGTGTGGTGGGTGAAAACGAGGGAGGCACGGGAGTCCAGGAGAAACTTCCACGTGGAGCTACACTGTGACGTTTTTGGCACAACTTGCTTTCACTTTTTCTCGTACATCCACTCCATCTAAAAAAGTAGACTAATAATAAGTTTTGTTTGCAATGGCAACAGAACTCTGAGAATCCTAGGACTCGACTCGACTCACCGCGCCTCCTCACTTGACTCGACTCACCGCGCCTCCTCACTTGACCTACATCCCGTTCAACAGGGGGATCGTAGAGTTTGACATCCGATTCGATTCCACTTTTTCGATTCTTGATCTCTTGATCGATTCGATTCGGAACAAAATGACGACGTCTCGTTTCCTTCTGCTCCTCCTGGTCCTTCGCAGTGCAGCCTCCTTTCAGCCAGTTGCAACTACTACTGCTCACCATCACTCCACGACGTCCTTGTCTGCCAAAAAGACGAGCAGCAACAAGAAAAAGGTGCGTCCATCGACATCTGGATTTGGCGGTGCCGCCACAGAGCCGTGTCCGTGTGGAAAATCATCCGACACGTCCTACATGAAGTGCTGTGGCAAACTCCACAAAAACATGTTCGAATTCCAAAAGGCGACACCGGAACAAATTGTCCGAGCTCGCTACACGGCCTATGCCAAACGAGAAATTGACTTTATCATCCAATCCACGCATCCCAAGAATGCCAACTTTCAAGCCGATATTGCGCATTGGAGAAGTCAAATTGATACCAACTGTTACGACAATTTTGAATTGACCAAGTGCGAAATACTGGACTTTGATCCCGTCGATGATGCCAACACCAAAACGGCCACGGTCAAGTTTGTGGCCAATATGATTCAACGGGATTCCAGAGAAAAGACGGCCTTTCAAGAGACGAGTACCTTTGAAAAAGTGGGTCCAGTGTGGTTGTACAGAGAGGGGAAGATTGAAGATCCACCGGGAAGAGAAAACGAAACGGAAACAGACGGTGAGGATGTAGAAGCAGAAGAGGAAGAGGGGGCAGCACCATAGCTTGGCTCTACCTAGGAGCTAGTACTACGGACAACAAGACGGGTTGGTTTTCAATCGACTTTGGGACTGTGGTGAAACGGTGTTGGAAGCTGACCCAGCTTTTCGTTCCCATGGGTTGCATACTGAAAGGCAAGCAACCAGCCATCAGCTACCTGGTACTAGCCATTGACGCCTTACTTTCAGGAACAATCACCTCCATGGGATCGAACAGAGTTTTGAAGTAGTTCTAGATTCGATTCGTTCAGCCACGGTACTAGCTAGCCAGAGCAGCCAGGAGGCAAATCTCTCATTCCTCCGTTGACCACACCAACTCATCTTGGGCATTGGCCGTATACATCATCCTGGCCATTCTCTGTTCTTTGTTTCTCCTCCTAGCCGGCCTTGCGAGCCGTTGTCGTCGTGCATGGGTAGCAAAAACCTCACACTCCAATCTGGAACAATAGAAACGGTACCGCTGTAGCTAGCCAGCTTAGACATGGGTACACGTATCCTTCAACATCTAAAACATACTATAATTAGATCGAAATGCCACTCATACAGAATAAGTTGGCCCGACAGCATGGTTGCATTGACTAATCCCGTTCCTCACCCCGGGTGGTTGTTGTTGTTTCACATGAACCCCGGCACAGGATAATGCTGAGGACCCGTGTTAGGGAATCCATTCACTTGATTCCTTCCGCTCCGGGGGTAGAGAGCCTCCAGATTCCTTCGATACATATCCGCATAGTTGCCAAATTGGAGAACAACGTCTCGAAACATTCGTTTCATAGCCGGCCCATACACAAAGACTTCTGGCATTTGATGGGATGACACCGCATCAATGCCTTCTTCTTCGGCAAATATTGAGGCCGATACCACCCAATACACTAACCGACTCCAGTCTTCATCTTCACCCTGCCGAGTGGCCAAGCAAAAATTGTCATGGTCTGAACTGTAGCCATAAAAGTATGGTTGAGAGAATGTGTAGCCTTGTTGGGTGTTGGGTTCCATCACATCATTCTGAAGGGTCCAAGTTGCACCTGCCAGGACATCGATGGTACCTGCTGACAAAAGAATGTAGCCATCACTGTCCTCTTCCACCTCCACAAATTCCACTGCATCTAAGTCACCTGAAAAGAGACTGGCAGACACCGCCTTGCAGAAGTCCACATCCATTCCAGAATAACCTGCTTCCTCCTCTACTCTGGTGGCAAATGCTGATCTGCCAACATGAATGCCACAACGGAGCTTTCCTCGTTGGAGTATAGCTGTGAGCGTAGCTCCCAAAGGTGCATTTTCATCTCGGATGCTGCCAATGGCTCCAAATGGATGGGAGTACAACAAGCCAGTAGTAATATTAGCATCACCCATGTTGATTTGATTGAGAGCGCTTCTGGGAATAGCCTTCCCCCAGGTTGACTCATAAATCTCTCCAAAGTTCCCATGGACTGCAATGGCATCCCGGAACATGTCCTTGTGGTCCTCCCCAAAGAGTGTTGTTTGTGGGAATGATTCAGCAGTGGCTTGGGTGATATTCTCTCTTTCAGCTACCAAGAGACTCCAGAGAATGGCATTGATGGTATCCACCAACTCGGGTTCGTTGTTGGCGGTCACAACAGCTTGTGGGTCATTGGATAAGTAGTTCTCACTCAAGGCAAACTCTCCTTCATAGTGATTTCCCATGCTCAAGTAATATCTGTTGACGGCCAGTTTTGTACCCATATCCGCAATCACATTGCATTCTCTGTTGATGAGACCTGAAAAAATTCCACCATCCTCCCAATCTGATTCCACCATGCGCCGTTGCGGCAAGTATTTGGCAATGACTTCACGGTGGGTTGTTTCTGCTGTGACACAAACCTTCAAATCTTCGCACTCGTCAATGTGCTTAAAGTTCTGGTCTACACATTTGACGTACTCTGGGACACCTCCAATACGAAGTCCCTCGTAGTTGTACGGAATGGAGAACGACACCGTAGCTTGGGTGGATTCCTTTGGACAGGAAAAGATAGAATTGGAAGCTTAGAGGAAACACCCGAACAACCAGAGAATTACCGATTGGCCGGCTAGCCATAGCACCTACCATGTATACATCCCGGTCCATTGTATGGGTTGCTCCAAATAAGATGACATCGATAGTGCCATTGATAATCTTCGAGAACATGTCTGGAAGCGGTGTGTCTACAAGTTCAATCTCGCCTTCTGGTCCGATAATGCCTTTCGCAATGGCTCGAAGCTGTAAAACAGTAGTGACGGAAGAGAGTAGTTAGAAGATGAGCAAAACACACAATTCTTCGGCATGAATTATGCATCGTTGTACCCACCAGCGAGGCCTGCAAGCCGTCGGTCTCCGGGAGAATAAATCCAGCCCGAAGAATCCCACGTTCTCGAATCTCCTCCAACTTGGACCGTTTGGCCTCATCAATCAGTGGCACGGTGGAGGAGGAACCAATGCTATTCTCGGTGTCCTCTTCCTCTTCTTGCTGCTGGTGCTCACTGGAGGTGGTAACACTTGTAGTAGAAGAAAAGACGCCACTCAATCCCAAGGACATGATTAGAATAATCATAACCATCAAAAGGATACCCATGGTGGACAAGACATGGAATGGTTTCGAGGACTTTGGATTGCCCTCGACAGCTGTACCTTCAATGACGGGCGAAAGTTCCACTGCAGAAGACTGGGAAGGATCCCTAGTGGTTTCCGCTTCTTCTGGCACCAACTCGGCGTGGAGGGGATCAATTTCGAGTTGACTGTGTCCTACCACAGTCCCACCAGCACTAGTACTGCTCGTGGTAGCAGCATTAGCAGACATACCCCTGTTTCTCCTAGCAGGAGACCTACTAGAACCCATCCCAGCCACGCTAAAGGCTCCTGGAACCAGATTGGTGCCGCGAATGACTGTACTGCGACTCAGCGTAAGAGGAGGTACCAAGCCATCGTGTTCGATATCCGAAATCTGCATGACAACCCCTTCCGTGCTTTCGTTGGGGAATGCCTCAGCTTGCTTGCCCTTTCCCAGTTCATCTTGCTCCTCCGCAACAAGATGAGACTTCTCATCTACTTCAGTAGCTTTGATATCACCGTCCGGGGGATCATCAGTGCTGGTACTGATGTCTGTTGCTGTGTCTTTAGTGGGGACGCCAATGGAAATCTTCAACAAACAATCCTTCTGGCCCTCCTGTTCCACTTCCGTATCTACTTTACTGTCATTGGCCTCTTCCCGGGCGGCTGCAACCTCCAAGTCTGCCTCTTTGGATGCACTGTTCCTATCCTCCTTTGATTCAACCATGGTTGACCAATCTCCTGCTGGATTAGCCTGTACCACTTACTCCTAGCTCCGGCTTAGATGAGTTCGAAGCTATTATTATGACGAGAGAGTGGTGTGAAGAGACTCCAAAGCTCGACCCTCGCTCTCTTTCTCACCTCCAAGACGGTCGGGCGGAGCGGACTGCGAGCCGAAAAAAATGATGTGAAATTGCATAAGTGTTCTACAGCTGTTAGAACTCCGTTAAACTTTTATAACAGGTCTTAAAAGTGAGTCGTAATGTTCATTCAGTATTTAACGATGTATCCGATCGATTGGCGCGCAGAGGGACACTGTGATCACTGGTACTAGCAACTTTCACCAGCTCCGAGAAGCTCATAGAACATTGTTCCAGGGTTTGGATGATTTGCATTACCACCTTCTGTTTACGGGCACTCTCCATTAATTACATAATAGTAGTAAGTACTGCGTGACAATGAGTATGACCTCAAAAGGAAGCATGTCTGTTAAATAATACGGTATGATCAAATCACCATCTGTGACTACCATGCATAGTAAGATAGTAAGTACTGTAAGTCAAGAGTCAAGAGCATCTTTAGAAGTGACCATTGACCATTCCATCCCTGCCAGCTGCGAACTGGCTGCTCTTGCATTGGTTGCGTACTATTAAAATTAATAGTACGGCGTACGACATGACATTGAAAGATGTAGACGGTAGACGGCAGGCGTCTATTCGCAGCATGTACAGTAATATCAATAGTCTAGCTAATAGTATACTGTACCGTACCGTATTTGGATCGTAAAGGTGTAAAGGTAGATTGGTCGATGGGACAATACTCGCCCCCAGCCAAGCAGATAGGGTCAAGGGGAAAGGTCACAGTTACAACTCAGTCAGGAGCATCCAAGATCCAGTGGAAGAAGCAACCTGGCGAGTCATTGGCCAGGTGGACTTCCCAGAGACCCCAATGATGCCATCTTCCAAGTGCCAGATGGTCTTCCATTACCATATTCTCAAGGACACGCACTAATCTAAACGCCTCTTAACACTTGCCCCACCAAGGATTCGAACAAGTCGAGGTTGATCACGGCTCTTCTATTGACCATCTTGGATCTATTTGGCAGGAGAATAGTTCCGAGTACAGGTCGCGAGCGTCCTATGAAAAGTTTGGGAAACGAGGGACGGAGTGTTGAGGGTTTGACTTTTTTTCCAAGACTTCCAAGGATTGGGGAACTTCAGCGTAAGACCTCGTGCTTGGGTTACCTGGTGCATATGTTGGGACGATGAGCAATACTTTTTGCCCCTTTCAGGTTTATTAAAAGCTTGCCGACTCAGTCGTGTAGTATTGACGGGGGGGGTTTAAGTGGAAATGGAGGTGTTGATAGTAACCAAGGATTGGACACTTCAGGTAAGACTCGTTTCGTACTTGTTAAGGAGGATGTTTGCTTGGGGTTTATTAAGTTCTCGGCCAAGACCCGTGTCTGCTTGAAGATCAGTTGCGAAGTTTATGCGCACGCGAGGAAAAACTGGGTGCTATAATGGGCCAAACTGTACTCATTCAAGTTCCCAAGAAGATCGATCAGGCCTTTGCCGTGCCTGCCGCTCTAATCGGCGACCTGCCAAGTGAGGTTCCGAAATCGCTGAAGGGTTTCACTGGACAAGCTGATGTTCTACGTGCCATGGTTTTGACACACCAAGGATTTAAGCACGAACTCGCGAATTCTTCCCCAGTACGCCTGACAGCAAGCAAGGTCATCCAACTCCTTCAGCGGCGGTGACCGATCCTGAAGACCCCGCGAAGCTTCAGCGATCATGGAACAACGACGGAAGAAATGCACGAAGCCTTGGGCGCGAAACAGTTGAGTCGGGCGTCAAAGCCAGACTCAACATGCTTGCCGAAGCTGACGTGGCACAGGATGAGGAGACAAATATGACCTCAAGATGATGTCGGAAGCCGTTCTGAAGCTAAATGACACCACGGATACCCTCCGGTCGTCTGTTGTTACCCTCACTTCAAGAGTCTCGATCGCCTTTGACAAAACCAACAAGCACTTATTCAATGGCAACAAAGCTATTCACATCATTGACGCTCGTGTGGGGCCTACCCCATCCGACTTTGGTGCTGCCACGATTTGTGACGCGGTACTTATCAACAAGGAAGAAGGACGCTCCATTCGAGCTAGCATGGAAGGCATCACCCAATCCAGCTCCAGGAGCATATCCAAGTTGGAGGACAAGATGCTTCGCACCTTCAGTACTGTTGGAGACAACTTTCCAACAACTTGGAAAAAGCCTAGAGGAGCGCCTTCATGCGGTGCTCGGGAATCAGACAACGGACGGTCCCCACAACACAGGATACGATCAGAGCTTGTCTAATTTGGAATCTGAGCAGTTGTTGTACCAACAGCAGACCTCATCGTCTCTCAGGCAGATGTCGGACACCATTGATAGCTACGTCTACGTCCACGGACGCTGAGGAAAAGGCAGACAAGTTGGCCAACCAATCTCTTGATGCCTTCTGCCTTCAGGTCAGATGAACTACACTTTCAGCTCGATGTATGATGTGCTCAAGTTTGTCAGGAAAGCACAACATCTCATCACTCGCTGGCTGCATTGACTCATTCACAGCCTTCGCTGAATCAGTAAGGATTGTGTTAGGTAGTATCAATGGCGGAGAAGGGAAACGCCAGTCATATAACTACGTCCATGAAAGGCAGACTCAGTGAAGACAAGGTTGGGACCTTTGGCGTCTTCTCGCAATGAGACCTCATAATATTATTCTCTCATCATATAGCGGACCATCAGAAATGGCCGTTTGGTTGACCACAACAAGGTTTTGGATCACTTTTGCCATCATATTTTGCGTATGATGAAAACATGAACAGTCAAAGTCCCACATTACTTTACTACTCGAAGAACTGGGGCAGTCGTACAGTTACTTACGCGACATGAGCAACGCCAGAGGGACGTCTCAAAGACACATGACCGTCTCGCCTATGCCAACACTG